GTGGTAGGCAGAGAACAGGTAATCCATTGTGTAGCTTTGTGGTCAACAGCAACTAAACAGAAACACTAAACTATCAAGAAAATGACATGTTAATTAAACTTCGGTATCTACATAAATAAAAAAATTCCATATGGCTTCAGAGATGATCAATATTTGAGTTACACTAAGTCGAAAAAATATCATTAGATTTTCAAAGAGTTACTTAAAAACTAAATATAGTGTATCGTAGAGCTTTTTCATTGGTCTTTTATTTCCAACTATTACTAGAGGAAAAGATAAATAGAACAGAAAATTAATATTCAAATTTGAAAGGGTGAATCTGAATAAACATACGCAAGGAAAATAAATTATAAACGATTTAAAATGTAAATTTCAACGATATTGATGTCCGTGTTTAAACTAGAAGTCCACTATTTGTGTGGCACTATATTCAAGACACGTTTTGCAAGAAACGGGAAACTCTCGTTTTTCGAACTTTATGAAGACTTGACAAAACGAACTAAAAATACGAGTCAAAGAACTACATGCTTTACAATTTAGAAGATAAAATGTCGAAAAGTACAAAAAACAACAACATACGACTTTAGCTGATCTACCCGTCTCACGAGGTCTGAAGTAATAATCAAGGAAGCATTAATGTTAAGGTAAAGCACGATTTTTTTTTTATTTAAAAGACAGTAAAAGTACTTGGAAGTTGAAGTAAGAATGTAAATTGTTTTTACAATACCTCTTCCTTGGTGAGTTTTGTTCCACATTCGTTTACGTCTATGATAAGCTGGACTTCTCTTGAATTATTCCCTTCGGCTCGACACTCCAGGGGATAGCCTCGAGCATAGACAGCTCCACGAAATAGATCCTTTAACACCACTGCTGCCATAATAGCCTGCCGACTACAGGCGGCATGAACAGCTGCGAAAAATTAGTATATATATCTCTATATATATTTAACTTGTTTATTTCTTTTCCTTTTTTGGGTTCAAAGTTCTGCAAAGTATGTACTGCTATAGACATTTCAGTAAGTCTGCGCAGTATAACATACAGGTGTCGTCAGCTGATGTAAATACTTTTGTGCAGCTAACCTCAGTGTTGCCAAAATTATGGGAGTATTAACACTTGCAATACTAGCGATTATACAATTAGAAGTATAATACGAGAACTGTATGATCTAAGAAGTTATAGAAAGCGTGGAATATAATGTTAAGGAAAAAAAACAACATATCATGACATCAACAGTGTATATGGACGAGAGAAAAACAAACAAAAAACACGAGTATTATAAAACTATATACTTACATATAAACTTATTTGGAGACGTCTTGGAGTGTGATTTTGGGGACACGTGGAAACTGTGGAGGACTCTGCCCTGCAGATGAACATTCACGAATTACTTCTACTACGTGTTCAAAAGTACACTAACCGTTTTCTATTGAATATCGAATTATTAAGTGCCAGAACGAAATAACAAAACTGAAACCTGTAATGCACTGTAATTACTGAAACAAACAAGCAAGCAAAAACATGTACTAAATTATATAGAGGCCGTTACTATGGGCGTTTTTAAGGTACATACGAGATATATATTTCTTATAATATAGTTATGTTTTGTTAGAAGTATGAACGTGCACTTTTTCATTACTTGAACATGTTTCTTGAACTATATTGGAACCAGTATTTTATTTGATTAAGTTTTGATATAATTGCTTTTATCACTTAGGTTTGTTTATATTGAGCAAAGCCACAGTGGACTATTTGCTGTGCCCACCGCGGGAAATCGAACCCTGGATTTTAGCGTTGTAAGTCCGTAGACTGACCGTTGTCCCACCGGGGAACTTATCATTTAGGAACAGCTTTGATTTATACGACTTTAATAGTTAATAACCACTAATTAAAATTCTGCCTTGGGCGATTTATACACCAGTGTTTATCCTTCCAGTGAGTAGACTTAAACAATGACTAGTTATAAATTATATAGGCTTTGCATAAGACGCATTCGCCAAACTCTTTCTTATTAACACACACGCAGTTGGTGTCACGTTCTTAAAAGTGAGTCATAACTAAAAAATAAAAGTAATAATATGAGGTTTCAGACGTACATTGGTTATATATATATATTTAGATGAGGGCTTTCAGATTTAGAAATATTTTATTTAGTTTGTTGCATAACATAAATTATGGCACGCCGGAAATCTTTTCTGCCTCAAAGGCTGGTTATCTCGAAAGTTAATTGAAGCATAATGAAACGCTAAATGTGCAATTCAACCATGCAGGATGAAGTTCAGAACTGTCTATTGACGCTTCGTAGCGTTAGTTCAGAATCTTCGTAGTCTTTAATCACTTGAAATGATGCTGAGGCAGGTTAAATAGGTGAAATGAGGTCATCGCTTTTTTTTTTCATAAAAAATTAACGGGGGGAATGATATATTAGGTAAAAGTGTTTTAACATATGCTACACATCCTCACATTTGTTTTAAAATATAACATTTACACCAATTAAACCAAAGAAAATTACCTGTTGTAATGTCACAACGATAACAATCACCACAACAACAGTCAGTTTCATCTTTGGGCTTTGAGCTAAAAATATTAAAGTTTTTTGAATAATGAAAAGTCAAACGAAAATGTTTACTTTAACATATATATTATGCGAGTGAAGTGTTTCTAGAACTTAACTAATAAGCTTTTTTTTTTCACACAGTTGAAAAGGTAATTAATTCATAGTTTAGTCATAAGAAATATGAAGCATTTTTTATATTAAAACTTCAGTCAAGTTCACGGAGAAAAACTATTTTTTTTAATTAACATTGTAGTTTAGGGGTAAGTAAATAATAATTTTATTGTTAATATCTAAAGCTAATTAACCTCCATGTCGTTTTTTTATTCTTTCTGTTTAAAAGAAACAGTTCTAAGACTTATTTTCCACGTGTTTGTTGAATTTCGCGCAAAGCTACTCGAGGGTTATCTGAGCTAGCCGTCCCCGTTTTGAAGTAATAGATTAGAGCAGCGTTTCCCAAAGTATAAAGTGCATATGATCTCTTAGGCGCGTGAGGGATTAGGGTAGAGTCAATATTGCTATAATGCAAAATTAAGCGTTTAATATATTTTTTCTTAATGAAAATAATAAGTAATTACTACAAAACGTACAGCATTTAATGTGTATCCTTATATTACATCTCGTCATTTAACTCACTCTTAACTCATTAAAGAAAAAATAAGAAAGTGGGGTGCGCACAAGAAACCATATTTATTAAAATGGAGAGCGTGGATGACAAAAGTTTGGGAAACGCTGCATTCGAGGTAAGACAACTAGTCACATTATATCACCCCCATGGCTGACAGGAAGATCACATTTGGCGAAGGGTTTGGATCTCGCGACCAGCAGATTGCAGCTCGAGAGTCCTAACCATCAAACTAATTGATTTATTTCTTGATTGATACTTAAATTATTTGCAATATTTCGTGTACAAAATATGATTATTCACTCGTTATCGAAAAAAACAAAAAAAAACAATAACAAGTGGTTCCTTGTGGATCCCACTTTTATGTGGTCAATTTGATTAATCTTCAAAATATTTCTCAATGAAATAAATCAATAGCATCGAAGTAATTAGTTATTGTTTCACAAAATAAAATTGAAACTGACTTACCTAAGAGAAGCGCTCTAGTTGTACGTATAACAAAGACTGTCAAACTGCACGTATTCTCAGTTCTGCTCGTGGCAACAATGACTAGACTACCGTATGTAGTCTTGACGCTTTCGATGGTACAAAGCTGTTTGCCAAGGTTTACTGAGTTCAGAACAGGTTGAATGTTTCCACATTCAAGTTCACCAGAAACGATTAAACCCGCTGTATCCGTTAAAGAAGAGAAGTAAAAAAAAACACCCTTTTGAGCAAATGTACTGACTAGACATAGTTTCTACTAGTGACGTAATGTGCTTTATGAGCCTAATGAGATTTCTGCAAACCATTTACCACTTCCGTATTTCCTGCGAGAAGTTCACGCTTGAGTCTTCAACAGTTAATCTACAAGAACGATTTTAAGCAAAATTAAACTTGATATTGATACTTTCCGAGGGGAGGGAAGACAAAATTCGCCGGGCCGTCACCTGGACTGCGTCACGTGACTTCTCAGGCACAACCAGTTCCATAAGGAAACGTTAAACGATCTCCGTCTCTAGGTAACGGGCATGCTTCTGTAGCCTTGACCCCGGACTCTTGTTTTCAGCTTTCACCATGCAATTTTATTTCGTTTTTTTTTTACAGTGTTACCTCTAAAATATCGACATAGAACAATGACCCTAAGTGACTCCACGCATCTTTGAATTTAATAATAATAAGCATAAGAATTTACCTGTTAAATATGTGTAACCTGATCTATTTTCTTCAAGAGCATTCAGCCATTTAAAATGTATACGCTACCACAACTAAATTTCAAAAAATAAATAGTATAATTAAATACATAATGAATAACGTCCTCTGCAAGTAAAACCCATTCGGTTTTTGCTCGCTTCTCTTAAATTATGCATCTTCTTATTTAAACTTGTATAGTCTTGCTGAATTGTAAACTCCTGTGAAGAAAAATAAAACGAGATCAAAATTGTAAATTATGACCAAACTAAAGGGACATTATCCCACTACCCTCCATCTTTTTTTATCCTATTTTGACGCTAATATAAATGACCCTAATTAAATGTGTGATCTTTTAATTATTAATGTGACCATCAGTAAAATTATAATTAAGTTTCACCAAATGAAGTGAAATAAGTTTTGTTAGACAACAGTTGATTAATTTTTCATTTTCGCTTGAGAGTCTACCTTGTTAGGGCTGGCTTAGGATCACAAACATTATTGTACAGTTGTGTTTCTGTTCACTAAGCCTATCATCAGGATAACTGTGGGTGGAACCAGTGCACTACAGCACATCGTCTATAACCTCTAACGGTTTTATATAGCATAACCTTATCACTATTTCGACATACATTGTTTACAGTTTTTCTTGAGACTCAATTATTATTTAATGAAACACGTGCGAAATTACAAACAGTCCGTACAACAAATCCATATTTCCAACTTCACCATGGTCCTCAAATTTCTGGTGAAGGATCTGTTTTTCACCTTTTTTTTTCTTGTTTTGTTTGTCATAGCTAAGATGCTACATCTAACTAGCAGTCATACCCGTTCTACAGACTATAATTTACCAGTAGAAATGAGTTACGAAATGATACACAAACAAAAAAATTAATTTTTTGAATATCTACTTCCATCTTTAATATCTCACCCCAAATGTGTATTATAATAAGATAATTAAGTTGTGCACTTACCAGTTAATCACTTCGGTTCGTCCCTCACTGGCTCAGCGGTAAGTCTGAAGGCTTATAACGCTAACAACCATGTTTCGGCACCCATGATGAGCACAACACGGATAGTCCATTTGTAGCTTTGTGTTTAATAACAAAACAAACTATTGGCTGTTGTTCTGTGACGAACGAAAGGTCTTATGAACATTAAGCCCAAGGAAGGGGGTGCGTTAAATATCTAAGCTCCCTAATTTAGCAGTGAAAGACTAGAGTGAAGGCAGCTAGTCATCATCATCACCCATCGCCAGCTTTTGTGCAGCACTTTTACCAACGAATAGTGGGATTCACCGTCACGTTATAATGCCCCCATGGCTGAAATGGTAAACATGTTTCGTGGGACGAGTATTAGAACCCGCAGAATGCAAGTCGAGCACCCTAACCACCTGGTCATGCCAGGCTTTCCGTGCATTGGTATTACTATTCTGGCCGATTTTGGGTGATGCTCGGACCAAACTGTGGAACAAAATAGTGGGCAGAGAAACAAAGTAGCATGCATTATAATAAGATGACAGATATCACTATTATAACAATATAGTAATTTTGAAATTATAATAAATAATTAAAAAAACAATTCAACACAAGTGCCGGTAGTGCATATTTATAGTAATATTGCGTCATCGAGGTCACGTGACTGGTGTGGCGCCACCTTTTATTTAAGTCCAGCAGATTGAAAATAAAATGAAGATGAACATAACTCTAAAATATTTATATTGCTTTAAATTAAAAGTGGGGTGGTTCGTTTTCTAAATGTATACAATCTTTCACATTTTCTCTCTCTCTGTTCTTTGTGGCCCGGCATGGCCAGGTTGTTAAGGCGTTCGACTCGCAATATACCGGTTCGAATCCCGGTCACACCAAACATGCTCGCCCTTTCAGCCGTAGGGGCGTTTTGAATTTCGCGCAAAGCTACACGAGGGCTATCTGCGCTAGCCGTCCCTAATTTAGCAATGTAAAACTAGAAGGAAGGCAGCTAGTCATCACCACCCACTGCCAACTCTTGGGCTACTGTTTTACCAACGAATAGTGGGGTTGACTGTCACATTATAACGCCCCCACGGCTGAAAGGGTGAGCATGTTTGGTGTGACGGGGATTCGAACCCGCGACTCTCAGATTGCGAGTCGTGCGCCCTAACCACCTGGCCATGCCGGGCCACAAAGAACAGAGAGAGAAAATGTGAAAGTTTGTATACATTTAGAAACCACCTAACCATCTGGCCATGCCGGGCCTTTTACGCCTTTGATTATGTCGTTTATTTAGGTGAAATTCTTGCATGTTGTAATAGTGTGTAAATTAATTAAAAAAGAATTAAAAATTTATAGAAAGAATAAATGTGGTCATCTCAAATTTGAAAATCTTTTTGTTTTCTTAACTTTTTTTGCAGCATAAAAATTATAAATAAACTTGCTATATATTTAATTTTTTAACAAAAAATTCAGTTTAAATACATTTAAGTACACTAGTGCTGTCTGCATTAAACATCCCGAATTTTTAAGTGATAGACTATGGGGAAGGCAATTTGCCAAAATCCTCGCCACTAACTCTTGATCTACTATTTTCAGACCGAATAGTGTGATTTGACCATTACTTTTATAACACTCACCCCCCCCCCCCCACACCGGGGGCACATTTT